TACCACTGACAGTCTGTGCGATACATTGTATACATAGACCCCCCCCCAAGGAACAATTTCTGATTATTTTGTTATAAAATAAAACTCTTACTGGTGTGAAAGAGGATCATATAGGACACCAACCCCCCGATAACGATAATGACGACACCCAGGAAGAGTACGATCACCCAGAGTGGTGCCTCAATCTTGATCAGCCTGCGCTTCACCTTAATCTTGCGGAGGTACCAGGGAGGTTCCTGAAACCATAAAATCATTATTAATAAGAAGACATTCAATGATTAGAATACGAGGACGGAGAAGACATGACATGGCGGCAGGGACACGAGGCCGGGGACACGGCGTCACATCACCACTTGACTCTATAGGATTCAGATCATGAAAGATCCAGAACATTGTAAACCTGAAATCCGTCCGCGTCTTCCCGATCGTCGTTCTGATGTATCTCTGACAGGAAAGTTCACTATTAGATGAATGACCTGCTGATCCTGCCAGTCACATGACTTCCTCTTGGTGACAACTAGTGATTAGCTTCCAGTTCGGGTCAACCACGAGTCTGAACCTAACCCAAAGTGAACGGTCTCACGTGTTTGCCCGCCCACCGAGCGTCCGTCTAACAGTACCGTTACCTGACATCACAGATCAGGACTCCACAAACCTTTGTCCTTATAGCGTATATCCAACAGATGATTTCCAGTCCGTCATGGGAACACGTATGATCTCCAACCCAATGCCCTGGGTGCCATGTTAGTGCAAAGTATGTTTGTTCTGTGCGAGTTGTGAGAGTGGGGCAAAGTCTGGAATCATCTCTTGTAGTATGTCTGAATTCTCCGATAAGGATCTATTAATAATAATAATTCTAGTCATCCAGCATGTGCAAGGTAACCGGCTCTTGTAAAAAAAAAAAAAAAGGCCAAAAATCAAATGTTCTCAGTGTATTTTCTCCCCTGTAACAAGAGAATGTTAGAGACAATGCGCATAGAAATGTAACCATTAATATTCCCAGAGCAGCAATGGTGACATTTCTCTGCTCATCCCCTCCAGCGCTCTCTGGAATTGTAACATTGTATCTTGTTACTGCCATGTATTTATTTCCAGTGATCTTCGGCTCCCTCTAGTGGCCATAATGTGGAAGACATTAGAGGTGCACCGAAATGTATATTTTAAAACTGTAACGAAACCGAAAAAAAAAAATTGTCAAAACCAAATACCGAAAATGTTAAATTTTTTTAAAATTTTCAAATATTTTATTTTTATTTATTTTTTTATAAACTTTTTAATTTTTTATATTTATTTTTATTTATGAATTCATTTTTTATTAAATATTTTTATTTTTTACTTTACTGTTAGGGGGCTTCGGGGGGATATTGGGTGTCTAAACAGACCCCTGATATTTCCCTTTTAAAATAGAAAAAGAGATTGAGGACACAAAGTCTTTTTCTGCAGCCCGTTACCAATGAACCGGAATCCTCTATACTGAGTGTTCCTGTTCATTGATAACATGAGGACAGAGTGTGTTTACTATAACCACAACTATGAATGAACAGGAAGTGATGTAGATCACTTCCCATTCATTCATAATTGAGGATATAGTAACTATACTCTGTCCTCAATTATCTACAAACACTCAGCGATCACTGATCACTTGTTCTCCTCTCTGACAGCTGTCACAGGAGGCCGAGCGGTGCTGGGGGGAGAGCTCAGCCACTCACAGCGTTCTCGTCCCGCAGCGCTCGGCCGGCTGTCACATATTCTCTCCTCCCCGCAGGGACATAGAGCAGCGCCCAGCGGGGAGGATAGAAAGCACGGATGCGCCGATGTATCGGCAGGAGAATGGCACTTTCGGCATTATGCCATTAGTGCCATTTTCGGCCGATATGTTTCGGCGGCCGATACCAGCACCGATCGGTGCATCCCTAGAAGACATATAACATTTTCATATACCACGGCAGCTGGATACAACTGACTGAAGACTAAGAGGGGCTTCATGAGCAAAATGTAAATAGTTAGTAGGGTTTAGAAGAGGTGACACGGTACATTGTTGATGGGGGAGGGTGGGGGGGATTATGTTGCCTTTGGGGATCAGGATGGGGGAGAAACCTTGACCATGCTTTATAAGGATTTCCTTCCCCCGGATCAACTGCAGGTTGAGGATTCTTTTTTATTTGCTGGAAATTGAGGGACAATTGTCTTTACTTCATCCAATGTGGACCTAGAACAATGAAATCCTGCGGAGTGCAGAATTCTACCATAAAAGTGATGATGTCATAGGGTAGTGTACACCAACCTAAATCAGCGGCATCAACAGGAAAGAAAACAATCACACGGGTCTATTCATAAAAACAAATAAAAAAAGTTCATAGCTATTTGTCTAGTGAAGTCTGTACATTCACTCTGTGTGAATAATTCAGCTGTTGGGGGATTGGAGCAAAATATATATATTGAATATATTCAAATATTATGTCCATTAGTAAACACAGATCATACATAGGAACAGAATGATGGGGAGATACCTCATTGTGACCACCAGATGGCGCCGAGGACCAGAGGAGATAGACAAGAGATACAATGTAACAATTGTAGGGAGCTCAGCGG